TGGATGTTTGTCCTTGTGAAATTTGTGTTTGTAAACTGCCCCCACGATACAGGAGAAAAACCTAGTGTGGAGGTAACGTTCATTAAAAAAAAAAAAAAAAGACTGGCTGGCGGCGCGTGAAATCTATTTCATCCGACACAAAGACCAGTCCAGATTTGAATCCGTTAGATTACAAGATATGGTAACACTTGGAGGAAAAGGCGTGCTCAAAGCCTCATCCCAATTTCGAGTCACTCAAGACATCTTTAATTAAGGCAGCCGCCGATATGACATTGACCTCGTTCGTGGTGAGATTGAAGGCCTGTATTCAAAATTACGGAGGTCATTTTGAATAAACTATAGTGTCATAAGAATCTATGTTTTGTTAAGTTCATTTTGGTATATAAATGGTTACATAATGAATAAACTTGTTTCAATTATTTTACATTAAACATGTGATAGAATTTATGACCTGACTAGGTAATATGCAATTTGGGTACAGATGATAAACCAGGGTCACATTGGGTAGCTTTATATATCGATACGAATGACGTCGGTGAATATTTTGATTCATATGGACGGGCACCTGTACGAAATTGTAAAAGATGGAACTGGAATGTTGATAGGACTTCAGTTTGTGGCGAATATTGCTTAATGTATTTGCTATATAAGTTTCAGGGATGTTCAATGCATAGTTTTACGAGTATATTTACAGAGAACACATTGTACAACGATATGTTAGTGGATGAGATGTTTCACTCCTATTTTATATATAATAAGTAATAAGATTTTGTATTCTATAAATAAAAATTTTAACAAAATTAGGTAATATGTTTAAAAGATGGAACTGGAATGTTGATAGGACTTCAGTTTGTGGCGAATATTGCTTAATGTATTTGCTATATAAGTTTCAGGGATGTTCAATGCATAGTTTTACGAGTATATTTACAGAGAACACATTGTACAACGATATGTTAGTGGATGAGATGTTTCACTCCTATTTTATAGATAATAAGTAATAAGATTTTGTATTTTATAAATAAAAATTTTAACAAAATTAGGTAATGTGTTTTATTGATGATTCAGATTAGTGTTGTAGATAGGAACAAAGGAGTATAATACAATAGCATAAGCCGACCCACACGCTGACGAATAATAGATAATGACGGTAGTCAATCAACAATAGATAAGTAGATAAGGACAATGGAGCGCTAATGACGGTTGAGGCTCGCAGCGGATATCAATTAGATAAGAGTTAATTGATCTACACATCTCCGGAACGGTGCATCCTACGCAAAAATGGACCGCAGATTCGTGATCAGAGCATGCCAAAACCTTTTTTTTTTTTTAGGATTGTGAGTCGACGAACGTCGTGCGCAAGAACTGGTACAACCTTTCTACAAGTGCGTCAGAACTGGTACAACCTAACTACTTTCTTCTACAGCGATCTTTTACATAATTTTTTAATAATACTTAATAAATATATCTTATATCAATCATTATAAAAAATAATTAAAAAATCATTATAAATAAAGAAAGTACTACATATAAAATGTGCCTATTATTGAAGGTTTGTGTAACCCTTGGTTAAACGAAAGGTCATTGTCCATTTTTCTCAATCGATTTGGCACTTGTTCTATGATGCCAGTTATATTATCAAAACAAAAAAAAATCGCTATGGCTATGACTGCCATTGCGACAACATTCATTAAAGAAAAGCGGAGGAAAAGAAAGATATGGGTGAAAGAATATTTAAAGCTTAGTAAAAATCACTTAAGTATGAGGATTCTCGGTGTTCTGGAGCCAAATGAATTCCGAAATTACTTGAGAATGGGGGAAGAGGAGTTCGAGGAACTATTAACTTTAGTGACTCCATATATCGAAAAAAATACGATTGTAATCCAGAGTGTAAGTGCTAGACACAGATTATTTATCACTCTACGATTTCTAGCTACAGGAAATAGTTATCAAGATATAAGATTTAGTTCCTTGATTTCTCAACCACTTTTATCTAAAATAGTAAATAAATAATAGTAAATAAAGTAAATGAGTGATTTAAATCCAGCCTCTAGATAACCACCAGGTACATAAAATCTTCTACTCTTTCTGCATCCCACATCTCCAGAGCATCTCCCTTTATGGAAGTGATAGGTGATTACATGGATATATGAAACTCTTCTTCGGCTTTAGTTTTATTTCTTATGTTGTGGTGCGTTAATTATTTATGGTGGTTCCATATGTCACCTTCAGTATTATCGAATTTTTTATCATAACTTACCATAACGTTCATCCATCAAAACCAATATTTCAGAAAAGTGATTGTAACTAACTTAGAAGTACCGTAAGCCAATAAAATAATTTCCATTACAAAACAACTATTACCACATAATACTGTACTTAAGCTATTGATTAAAGCTCAACAACGTAATTATTAATAAAAAAATGGATAAGACAATTTCAATCCATTTCCAATATTTGTAAACTTATGTTAACTATCACAATAAAAATAACTACAATTTTATATCGAAAATGAAATTACCGATAGAAGACAATTGCACTCCTGAAGTTCAAGTATAATTATTTTCGGCTTAGAGCTTAGACTTATGAAGGACCTGTTTGTTGATTTGTATTTAAAATTTTCGGGATCGAATTATTTCTGCTAAATACCTTCTAACTTTAAAAATTTAGACGTTATCTAACTTTGATATATTTTTTAGGCGACATCAAATTCGTGATAATCATCGTTCGCAACTTTTAACATAATACGAAATTTTACTATCTTCGAATACTTGGTTATTTCGTAACCTTTAACGGCAAGCCAAAACATCGTTCGTAAAAGTAAAACATTGCTCATGAAGAACCATATTAATGAACGATATATCAATGTTTGAAAGAATCGATGTATTGCTTGCATCCCTAGTCGCATATCGAATAAGTTCCCTAACTTCCCTAAGTGTTATTACACTGCACTGTGGCAAGGGCACTGCAGACAGGGTCCCTTTTGACGCCCTAATTAGGGACCCTCTTGTCTTGTCCACCCTGATTAAGGACTTAGAGAACCTGATTCAGGGTAGTGTAATAGGGGTATTAGTCCTCAGGAGGGATAAGTGGTCGGATAATCGGGTGCATATTTACCTAAAGTTTACATTTTTCAGCATTAAAAAAAGATTATGGACATGCTTTTTGAATCCCGAATGCGGGATTACTTGAGCGTCCTGAGATTAAAAAGTTACCGACGTATAAATACTTCATAGGACCAATCGTAAATTTGATATTTCATTGAATTCTTTCATTCTTAGATTTTTTTTTTAATTTCCTTAAAGTCAAAAAATTTACAAAGAAAATTTATATGAGAACCCGTTTGTCTATTCTCGCTGTTCCCCACTGGCTGTTGGGAAAATAGTTGCTATATCGGCCAATCTTCCCGTTGGACCATACTGTTGGACACTGGGAAGAAATAAGTTACTTTATCCCTCAGTGGTGGGTAACGAAACCAAAAGAGTTCCGTTGTCCGCCCCCACTATTGATTTTGTTTTCATGACTATTATATAAAAATATTAGAGAGCCTAACAGATCGGCTTTCTCCTTTGCAGCATGGGCCAGTGAGTCGTCATCTTTGTGCAGAGATGGAAGAGATGACTGACAAAAGTTCCCTTGGACAGCCTTGGCGAGATACCAGAATGTACGGGTTCCCGAAGGAAAGCGAACTAGCTTCTCGCTAATTCTGCCGATGTGCTCAGACCTTGCCTGGACAATGACTCTTCTGAAGGACCTGGAGGTAGAATTATACTTCTTTTTAAGAGCGCTGGTGTTTACACCCCGAGACGTTGATGATACAGTAGCACTCCTGCTTATAGCGTGATGCTATTTTATAGGAGCAATCAAACCATGACTGGGATCTGCCTCTGATGGGGACCACAGAGGACGGAATAAAAAGTTTCATACCCTGAAGCATCACATCAGCGAGAGAATCCACAACAATGCTGAAATCGTTTGGCGAGAAGCAAACCCACCCCCAAGGATAGGATGCAAAAAAGACCGCATCCTATCCCAATCGGCCGTCCTAATAGCACAGATTACTAAATAGTTTACCAACCTATAGTGCCAAACATGGCGGCAGCCTGCAGAATGCAACCGCGACGTTACGTTTTGGTTACGTCGTCAACCTCAGATTCTACTTGTTTAGAAGTTTTTTACGGAGTACATTAATATTAATATTTGTTAACATTTATTTTAATATCCACTTATATGTTTGTCTAGTTATATTGTTATATGTGTATGATAATATTATTGCTATATCACTCACTCTCTTGCAGGAAATCCATGAGTTCAAGTAATATTCTTAGTCTCGTAATTAATTTTAGTTTAGTATATTTACGAAATAAATTTGATTTAGAAGTTCATGTTCATATTAATATTTAATTCTAAAAATGTACTTTAGATAAATAAGCGCCCGATTATCCGACCATAAGTAATAAACTAATAAAGCATCTACATTTTGATTTTTAATCGAGGATAAATAGGTGCAATCGACGAAGATATCGCGTAACACACATATAGAAAAAAGAAAGGAAGGGAACAGTGAATTGTAAATCTTATTTTTCTTAAGTCGCCTAAAATTGCCAAAACAAAACCATTAATACAACAAATACTAGACGCCTAAAAAAATAAACCAAATTACACCATGTAGTGATGGTGTAGGAATATCCACTACGCCATACCCCCCCGTGGGTGACATGAGAGGCGACAGAGGGAAACTGAAACGGAAGATGGGCAGCAGCATCTTTTGCCATTCCCTCACCAAGCGTGGCAACTATGGCAAAATCCTCCCAATGAGGCAATCTATGGGGGGAGTCTTATGTTTTATTGCCTGTAATGGATATATAAATCTGGATAATGTGATTGTAGCATAAAAAGTTATTTCTTTTTTAACATTTATTCTGTACCAACCTACAATTTATTATTAAAGGGATCATCTTAACTATGAATACCGAACATTTTACTAATCTGTCGTGCTTTACCTTTTCGAGCACCGTCTTCTCCTTTTCCTTGTCCTTGAGCAGCTGCTTAAGGCGCTCGAGTTCCTTCATGGCGAGGCGCACCTTGCTGTTGTCTGAGTCCAGCAGGGATTTCAGCGCCCAAACTTGCACGCGAAGCCGCTCAGAGCTGCTCACCTGGAAAAAACTATCTCTGTAATAGTGACGATGATTATTGCTTGATGTCGGGCATGTCGGATGTTCAACGAGGTAGAGCTACGTGGGGAAGCATCATGCTCTCACAGAATACCAGCGTGAAATAATTAACGCTGCTTTGTTTTATATAGTGAGTGTAGAGAACCGACGACACTTTTTACTGGAAACTAGGCATTCCGTTTGAGTTCTCAGGGGTGATTGCGCATCTGCCTTTGATATAATAATTGAGAGTAAATGTACATGTGTAAACCACAGCATCCACTTACTTACTTACTTACTCTTACTTACCACTTACTATCAGGTGGACTATGTGCTCGTTTATCACCTTATTCTATAAAAAAAACAGTTCAAACGGGGAAGAGCCACACTTCTATAGAATACCAGCGTAAAATAGCACCTTAATGCTCTATGATTGTAGAGAATTTATGGTGGGTGTAGAGACTAATATTTCTTCTCTGACTTTTATTATTAATAGAGAAGATGGCTGAGTGCTACCATCTCCTTGGGGTCCTATTATTAATAAAATTAAATAAAAACCAAAGCATACTACTGGAAGAAAAAATTAGTTGTATTTTATGGTTAAATCAAATTGAAGAAGCTGTCTGTAATATTAAAATACATTTGCCGTTTTTATACTCAGGAACACGGGCATGCCATAGAGACATGAATAACTATTTTTAAAATGTTTGCCTGTCAGTTTGTTTTGTCTAAGTATACCGATTGCTATGAAACTACACAAACAGATAGAGAGCGATGCCTATAGTAAATTAGGCTATATTTAATCATATAAACTTCAAGATTTTTATTTGAAAACAAAAACGAATATTTAATTTTTCTATGATGATTTTAAATTAAAATAACGCTTCATTAATAGATAACTAACAACCTTCCCAGGCAAAGCCAAAGGTGGGCCTGTAAATATTTAATATTTTTAAAGAACTCTCCACGAGCATCTTTATCCTCTCATCTGTGAGGAAATCAAAATGGTAACTGTCATGTCTGTAGTGGCTGAAATCAGCCACATCACAGACTTGGGTTATTTTTGGCGCCCTACGCTTATAAAGACTATAATATTTCCAGTTCTATTTTAAATTAAGGTTTTATTTTCTTTATCCATTACTCAAAATTAGTTTCTGTTCCTAGCTCTTTAAATTATACAACTGAAATAATATAATAAATCTGTTATTATATAATAATTAATATTTTTTTCAATTTTTTTACTATATTTATTTATACGTAAAAATTTAAAAATAAACAAATATTCAATTATAATAAGCATTTAATCAACAGTACATATTTTAATAGATCTATCACAAAAAACCAATGCTCTTCATACAAATTTTTCATCAAAACAATGTTAAATACTTTCATTCTAAACCAACTAATCTGAGGGTATACAAAAGTGACCTCTACATTTTAACATTCTTTAGACATTGCTAGTATTCATGTATACTCGGTCGAATCGACCATACCATACATCCAAGTAAATACCCTACACCAAATTTTAGACTCTTATCTCATTAGTTAAAAAATAAACTAAATAAATCCAATATTTTATGTGCTATAAATACATTTAAAATCAACTTTTAAAAAATGACAAATTCTTGATTACATATCTGTTGCTAAAAACGTCAATCATATAAACAATGAAAAAAATTTATATTCTCCAAAAAAATTTTTTTCTCAATAATTCGAAATGTGTGACTTCTATGATAATGAACAAGATCGTGAATCTTATTGCAGAGAAAGATAAATAAACATACGAGCTTTGCCGCGAAATACGACCGTATAGAAATGGCGGAATTCAGCCAGCCCACAGACGCGGCTTTTTTTCTGGGTGTAATCTGCCACCTCACAGACAAGAGGAGAAGCTGGTCAGGCGCCATTTTTCGAAACAGTTTCGCTGTTGCTTACAGCAGTGAAAAGATTTTCTTACAAGCATTTGATACGAGTTTACCTTTATTATTTTAATGCTACTTGTTACGATTTCGTAATTGACTTGCGATGTCGCGCAGTCCACACGACATTTGTATAATATTAATGTTAATTATTAAAAATATTAAAGTAGTTCAATTATGATGGCTCTGTGACGCAGTGGCTTAGCAATGAGTTAATATGACTGAGGACCGCGGGTTATAATCCCGTAAGAATCAAAGTTTTTGTAAGGCCTACAAATAATTATTCCGGGTCTGGAAATTTATCCTTGTAAAATTTATGTATGTAAATTTCCCTCACAATACAAGAGAAAATCCTAGTGTGGAGGTAACGTTTAAAAAAATTAAGTCCTAGAAGAAGAAACACGTCTCTTATTGGTATCTTCCACAATTTACTCCTGATACTCCATTCAAATGAAAAAAATCCTCTCTACCCTACTAAATCACTTCACTTTGACAGGCGTTGGTACATTTTGAACAAAAGCACTTGCTCGTGCAAATCTACCCGTGAGGTGAGGTCAAATATTAAATAGGGTATCCATCTCTGCGATGTGTCTTTTATAACCCTCGTTATCCCTGTCGTTATCTGATTAACGAATCCATCCGCCTATCCATCTATCCATTACAGCCTATTAAGTCCTCTGAACTGCACGTAGACCTCCCCAGAGAGCTTTCTCATAGAAGGGGAGGGATTTAGCCACGGCTGCCACGCTCGACCGGCAGATTTTTTGTTCTTTTGATTTGTTATCAGGAAGACGCTGCTGCCCATATCCTGTTTCAGATTTTCTCTGTCGTCTCTTACGACGGCTGATATAGGCTAGTGGATATTTTTACACCGCAATCATAAAAATTAATTGAAAGTTGTCGTAATTACCAATTAATGAAATATATATAATAACGTTGCCTACACATATAGTACGTTTCTGCCACGAAAAATGATGCAAACGAATGCAGTATAGTTGTCAGGTGACTGGCGATATCAGACGCAATAACCTATTAAAAGTTGTATGCACCCCTATAGAGGTCTACGAACCCTCAAGGCCAAACCTCCCCTACAATACTACCCCGTTATTACGTATCAGCTAAAAGTGCCGGTAAAATTATTTTCTTTTTAAGTACCTACATAAATTATGAAATAGATTAGATCTGGTTTTTTTATAGAATATGGGTGGCGAACGAGGTCACAGTCAATTTGATAGTAAGTGGATGCTGTGGCCTGTAGATAGCTGGTGAGTGAATAATGTGACCCTTAGACAGCTACGTCTATCCTCGATTATGAATCAAATGCAGATGTATTGTTACCCCTGCGGGCTAAGATAAAATACCTCGTTTTCAGTAATAAGAGTCTTCGTTCTCTCTCACTCAACATACAAAACACAGCAGAATAAGCTGGTATTTTACACTGGTATTCTGTTATAACGTAGTCGTTCCCCGATCGACCGACCAATAAGAGCTGCAAAAATGTAGCTACAGCGTTGTTTTAACACATTGGTTGCTGATTCGATACTTCATCTAAAGTATGAGATTTTTTATATTTTTCTCTTTATTTCAGCTGATTAGGTTAATAAAAAAATTTTCTTTGAGTCCAAGGCTGAGCGAAGTAAGCGCTCGGTTAAATTTTAAAGTAAACAAGCAACGGGAGTTCGATCTACACTTTTTTTTGCGCCCGAAGCAAAAATGGGCAACCCTCCGGAAAACGGGGAGGGAGGGAGGTGGGGAATGCTCATAGCATACCACGCAGCCGGCTGCGTGGTTATGTGGAGACTTTTACCCACTAAACCCCACCTTTTAGGGACTGGCTTAACGGTCTAACTAGAGATCTCTAAGCCGTATACGAACGCGACCCTCCTTGGCAGAAAGGAGGGCGCACCGATCTACACCTCGTCACAATCACGTGCTCGGCGCTGAAGTAAAGCATCGTGGAGAACAGCCGTGCCTGGCCACATAATGTCTCAAAAATTAGATGAGATATATAAAAATAGAAAACATAAGTTTAATAAAACTTCTTGAAAATTTTATCGACATAGTAACGAAATTTAAGACAGTGTTTTAAAAGAAAACATCACGTTTTCATGTAACATTTTCTTGTATGGTAAACCGCCGGTGCTGCAAGGGTAATAAGTTAATGATATGTCATAAAGAAGTTTCACTTCGTTTGGGCGTACACAAAAACACACACAATTTTTTCAATTATTTATCCATTAGGGGCCATGTGTCAAAAGTTCACTGCTGAACATAGACTTCCTTGTAGGAGAGATATTTGCCATGGTTGCCGCAGTGCTGCCCCCTGTGCAGGTTGACAACAGTAGTTCATGTTAATATTTTGAGTTTTTATTAGGAAATTGTTACTTCTCATCTAAGAGGCACCGTTATTTCGCACCGGTAGATAGATTCGACTAATAAAAGAGCAATGAATTCTACTTAGACAAAATATAATAATACAAAATCGATATTAATGCGTCCCAGTGCGTGCATTCCAGGCCTTCCCGTTACGTGAACAAGTTGCTAACTTTAAAAAATTGTAACCCTTCAAATATGAAATAACATTATAAATGCTAATTTCACCAAGCCTACGGTAAGCCGTCACGTAACAGTTCGTGTGGGCAAAGTGTTTTTAAGTTACAGGGTTTGTGAATGCTAGGGGGATAAGGCGCCTATGTGACCTTCAGACATGTTAGGTCTAACTGAACTTGTATTATGAAATGAAACTCCTTTATGAGTACGACGTAAGCTCGTTATTATCAACTGTAGAGTTACTTAACGTCGCGCTATTAAGAAAGCTATGTTTATATCTCCAAGTAAAATTATCTTAGGTTAGATAGAATATTCGCAAAGGATTCTTTGTCCCATGGACTACATATTCATCATCATCATCATCATTACAGCCTTTTACAAGTCTAAAGTTGAACGTGGGTCTCCCCAAATAATGCCAAAAAAAACTTGAGCTACCTACATCTCGCCATCTTCTTCTTGCTAAGCTACCATAGTCTTCAAGCAAGTCTTACCAGGTCGTTAATCACTCCAGTGTTATATTGATCAGGGTTAATAAAGTCTTACTATTACGTCTGAAAATCGACCATACATCTCGAGTGACCGCCTCGAATCGAATAACGCAGTGTGGAGCGACTCTACATTAGGTGAAGTGAATAACAAATGGAAAATTAGTGGATGTAATTGCATCAGGACCTAAATTTTATGAGGGAAGTCTATGTTCAACTATGAAAATGTAGTAAATGTAAGGCTTGCTTAACGATAATACTGATCGTAGACAAACACACACCCTGCTAATAGTGGAGACGATCTATGTGTATGTAGCATGAGGAACGCGTTACATGATACCATGTATCACTATCAATGTTCTTGATCACAATCGTGACCAAACCTAATACTACAAAGACATGACAAAGAAAAATGGTAGCTCAGGCGCTTTGCACTCGCTGAAAACACAGTACGCGAGCAACCCGGGTTCGATCCCCGCCGGCACCAATGACATTATTAATTGCAATTTTAAGCGCTGATTTACCACGTGCTCGGCGGTGAAGATAAACATCGTGAGGGAACTTGAATTTCGGAGAAATAAAAAAAATATATAAAATAAAAAAAGCACGTGAATTGTGAAGTCTGCCAATACGCACACACACTTCATTGCCCTAAAAACCATCTCAGAAGTAAGAGGAGGCCTGTGCCTAGCAGCGGGGTGAAAATAGGCAGTAAATTTACTTTAATTACAAAGACATAAAAAAGCAGTCTAGGTGCGATCCGAAATGTCTACACGAAAAACTTCCCAGTGGAAAGAATAAAAAAATATACGTGTGATAGTTCGGAGCTATTCTATATATTATACTGTTTTACTTCGGAACTTTGACAGCATGATTTCGGCTTCGATGTGTTTCGCTTGAGGCGCGACCACATGAGCACCCCCACAGTGATTAAGAAACGCTAGTCACGTGTAAGGTGTGCACTTTTTCAGCGTGATTTAAAATTTATTTCAGATAAGTATGTATCTTCAATTCGTATTTCCCTATAAAAACTTCATCATCATAATCATTACAGCCTTTCACAAGTCCACTGCTGAACATAGGCCTCCCCCAAGTAATACCACAAAGCACGGTCCTGAGCCACCTGCATCAATCGACTTCCTGCATATCTTACCAGGTCGTCACACCATCTAGTGGGGAGTCGCCCTACACTACGCCTGCCACTACGTACGAGGCTGCCACTCGAGAACCTTTCTTCCTCATCGGTTATCGGTTCTTCGAACTATATGGCCGGCCCATTGCCACTTCAGCTTACTAATCCGTTGGGCTATGTCGGTCACTCTGGTTTTACTGCGGATATCCTCATTTCTGAGTCTATCACGCAGAGAAACTCCGAGCATAGCCCTCTCCATAGCTTGCTGAGCGACCTTGAGCGTCCTCATACGGCCAGCATTGAAGGACCACGTCTCAGATCCGTAAGTCATCAATGGCAACACGCACTGGTTGTACAATTTAGTTTTTAGGTTTTGAGGTATACCTGACGAGAAGATGTGTAGTAATTTAGCGAACGCTGGCCAGCCGAGTTGAATTCGTAGTTTGACCTCTTGGTCGAAGTTGGACTTACCTAGTCGGACTATTTGTCCCAGGTAAACGTACTCGTCAACAACTTCGAGCATAGTGCTCCCAACAACTACCGGCATAGGTGTGACATGGACATTAAACATAATCTTTGTTTTGTCCATGTTCATCTTAAGACCTATCCGTTGGGAGACACCATTGAGGTCATTGAGCATAGTGCTTAGGTCCTCCAGCGATTATGCCATAAGGACTATATAGTCGGCAAATCGAAGGTGAGTGATGTACTCGCCTTTGATGTTAATACCGTCTCCTTTCCAGTCCAGTAGCTTGAAAACGTTTTCCAATGCAGCGGTGAAGAGTTTCGAGGATATAACGTCACCCTGTCTTACACCTCTCTGCAGTTGGATAGGTTTCGAACTCTGGTTCTGTACTCGGATAGCCATCGTAGCCCTACAGTACAAACACTTCAGTACTTCGATATACCGACAGGCAGATTGTACTCTTCGGTCTTCTGTACAATCTGCCGCAGGGTATGTATGTGGTCTATGGTACTGAAGCCTTTTCGGAAAGCTGAAAGTCGTCGAGTCTGCGTGCGAGACGATCGTAATGACTCTCGAAAAAAGCACGTAGACGAGGCTCAGAAGGGAAATCGGTCTCTAGTTCTTCAAGAGAGCATTGTAGCCTTTCTTAAAGAACAAGACCACCGCACTTCCCACGCCTCCGGAGTAGTACCACCATGGAGGACGGAATTGAAGAGCTCCTGAAGGTTTTCAAGTACCGGTGTTCCACCCGCTTTCAGGAGCTCAGCTGTAATTCCATCCTCGCCTGGGGCCCTGCCGTTTTTAAGGTGCTAGAGAGCCATTCTAATCTCGCTCAGACTGACGTCCGGGATATCATCGGAATAGTGTCGGATAAGACTTGCTCTTGGATCGTTACTCACATTTGCGTGTGGCTCCAACGATGATGTGTACAGCTGCCCATAGAACCTCTCAATATCACTCAAAATCTCAGGTATCCCGGAAACGATGCTGCCACACTCAGTCTTCAGCTTTGACAGTTGCCTCTTTCTGGTAGACAGATCTCTGGCAAAGACTTTGGAGCCCTGGTTCCGCTCGATCGCTTCTTTAATACGAGCAGTATTAAAGTTGCGTAAGTCTCGCCGCATGCATTTGGAGATCTGTCTGTTCAGTTGCCTGTATGCTGTCAAATCTGTTGACGATTGCAGCCTCATCTCCCGTCTAACAGCCACGAGATTAAGAGTGTGATCGGAGAGTTTTTGTGTTCTTCTGCGGCGGGTCTTGCAGAACTTAGCTCCGACCGCATGGACAGTTTCCACGAGCATGTCATTGATATCGTCCACTGCACTGCAATCTTCTAGGCACTGAAAGCGGTTACGTAACTCGAGCTGAAAGGTTTCGGGATTCTGGATTAAAGCACGAGGGGGACGGAGCGTTGACTTCATTAGACGAGACCTCTCCAACTTAACGTTTAGGTTCAGTGTGCCTCTAACCATTCGGTGATCGCTGCCAGTTTTCACTCTTGCGATCACTGAGACATCACTGAACAGTTGCCGTTTGGTCGTCATAATGAAGTCAATCTCGTTTTTTGTCAAACCGTCGGGGGCTTGACCAGGTCCACTTCCTGTGGGGCCGCTCTGGAAGAAAGAGTTCATCATAAAAAGTCCTACTTTCTCCATGAAGTCGACCAGCTGCTGGCCCCCTGGGTTCCGTTGCCCTATCCCAAATTTTCCTACCTTCAGCTCACCGTTCTTTCTGGTGCCCAGTTGTGCGTTGAAGTCTCCCATTAACACCGTATAGTGAGTTTTGGAGGAATGCATGACTCCAACCAAGAAAGAAAGAAATGTCCTCATACATTTCCTCCACCTCCTCATTGGGATGTTCCGACGTTGGCGCGTAAACCTGTATGACCTTCAGCGAATACCGTTTGGTAATTCTGAGTATAAGGTACGCAACCCTCGTCGATACACTCCCAATCTTTAAAACGTTGTTAACGAAAGACTTGTGGACGATAAATCCAACACCTCCTTGGGACAGATGGTCGCCCTCCCGGTGATAGAACAAGTTGCCGGATTCGAGAATCACCGTGTCCTCCCCCTCTCTTCGGACCTCGGATAATCCTATAATATTCCAGCGCAACTTGTCTATCTCATCTTCCAGCTCCAGGATCTTCTCGTCGGTCCTCAGGGTGTGTGCGTTAAATGTTGCCAGGTCGAGTCGTCGTAGGTGGCAACCGAACCTCCACCGGAGATCCTTAGCACCCTCTGCCCCGCCGTTACCATGGTCGCCACCGTAGCCAGGAATAGCGGGCCGCCGGGGACTGGGGACCGTCTATTTGTGTAATTGTTCATGGGGGGTATATTGCTATAGTTGCCACGCTTGGCGAGCGGGTTGGCAACCGCAGTTTTTTTGTTGTTGTAGAGTTGCTGTTATTAGGAAGATGCTGCTGCCCATCTCCTGCCTGTTTCCCTCTGTCGCCTTTTACGACACCCACGGGAAGATATGGGGTAGTGGATATTCTTAACCGCCACTACACGGTACTATAAACACTATCTGATGTAAATGAAAATATTACTGCATGGCATAACGTACCGTGCCAGTAACGCGCCCAGTCAATCTACAGCTGTGGCACAGTTTTTGTTAACAATTGCCTGTGTAGTGGTATACAAAGAAGTTTTTAGTTACAGCAAACCATTGACACTGCAAGGCGTACTCACCTGGAGCACCAGAATAAATAATAGTACTATGAATCTAGAGATACTGTATGTCAGGCACCTTGCTAGTCGGATTTTTAAAATGCCAGGCTTTTTCGATTATTCAATAAAATACTGAATTTTTCAATGGAAATCGGGTTATTTGTCGGGACCTTTTTCATTTTATATCTGGTAACACTGCACTCACCTGCAGCTCAAGCGTGGTGCGCAGGCAATGCAGGTCGCGGCGGCGACGGCGCCAGGCGGCCAGCAGCATGAACCTGCCCACCCTCTCCGCAGCACGCTGCTCTGCAGCACTGCGAAGTCCTGGGGACCTCACCGTTGACAGCGTTCCGTCCTTCCTTATCGACCCGTAAAAGTACATCACTCAATATAGGCCTCGATCGCAGACAGAATTCGATTTAATCTCCATAACCATCGACTGTTTTACCGATCTATTTGTAATTTTTTTTTTGAAATGGACTTGTAAAATAGAATGGTACTAACTTTACGAATTTTACCGTGTTTCGTTTTAACTCATCACACTTGTTCTGCGTAGATAGTATCATACAATTAATAATTATAAGGTTTTGACGTGACAACGTCTAATAAATCAATGACCGCCGGCTGCACGCACGGAAAAGGATGACTTATTGTAACGTTACGCTCATTGTAACGTTACGATCGGAGCGAGAGCGCTGCACGAGCGAGCAAAAGGCACGATCGGCTTGAGCGTTCGGCTTGCGCCACATTAAAAGTAAATTTATCAATTAAGTTGTCGATTTCAAATCACTCCTTCTTTGTATGGATACAAAATAGTGATAATTCAATAAAAATGATTAAATTTTATTCATAAAGTATCATTTCATCAATGTTTTGTTATGACGTTGTGACGTTAAACTATAAACAGACTTTACAGACAACCAATTTTATTATATAGAATGACCAGGGTAGGACCACGCTCTCACAGAATACCAGCGTGAAATAGCAGCCTTATTGAATAAAACTATTATTTACGGATTCTATCGCGTTTAATTAAACTTTAATTTATTTTTATTATCCCGACGTTTCGGGTGCTTTACAGCACACGTAGTCACGGGGGCCCCATTTGTATTTGATTTGAAGAGCTATCGTATCACAAAGCCATCTATCTATGCAAACAAAGCTGTAGTTTTTTGAGTTAGTACGAGAAAATGACCATATTAAACGGATGACCCTTACGTACTCGTACTATACACATGCGTGCAGCAAAGCATTCGACTTATACTTATGGTATTTCAATATATGTTGAAATAAACTCGATTAGTTTCATTCAACGCAAAAGGCTTCTTCTTCCCCTAATGATTTCTATTGTTAACGCGAACACTACACATTTAAATTAAGTTTGCACGAATTTTATCGCTTATATCAACTTATTTTACATAACCCCACGTTTCGACTACTTTACAGCACCCATGTTCATGGGTGGGACTGAGGTGTTCGACGTCCAGTTAATCACGGCTACCTTCAGTTTAAATTATTAATTTTTCGTCCGATCTACGCAGTATGAACATTTAGCATCTTCTACTCCTTCCTTATCGGCCCATAATAGTAAGGTCGTTGGCCTCTCCCATTGTAGGTTGGCACGCTTGGCAGGCGGATTGGCAATAGCAGTGCAGTGGACGTAAGATTCATTTCGTATTCACTACCCCATCGTATCGTCCTGTGGGTTTCGTAAGAGGCGACAGAGGGAAAAACAGTGCGCCGCAGCGTCTTCCTTATAATATCTAAAAATAAAAAACTTCGTCTGCCAACCCACTTGCCAAACGTGACACCTATGGCGAATCTCCCCCTACAAGAAAAGAGCCGTGGCAACTCAGATGGTAAGCGCTCACTGTAAAATTCACTGTACGCGAGCAACTCGGGTTCCACCCCCGCCGGCACCAAGGAAATTGTTATTTGCAATTTTAAGTACTGATTTACCGCGTGTTCGGCGGTGAAGGGAAACATGGTAAGGAAACCTGCATGTCTGAGAAATAAGAAAAAATATATTTCGAAGACATGTGAAGTTAGCCAACGCATTGGGGCAGCGCGGCGGACATTTCCTTGCCCTAAAACCCAAAACTCAGAAATGAGAGGAGGCCTGTGCCCAGCAGGTGGACGTATATAGGCTGTAACGTTAAGAGCCTACTCTTTTTTAACCTGCCAGAAGCGCGTTCGCAATTCTCCTGGTATTGCAGCTGTTCATGAGCAGCGGTAGTCACTTACCATCAGTTGTGCCGCATGCTCGTTTGCCCCCCTCTTATATAAAAAAATCCTACCTCCCCTTTAAAATCCTCTTGGTTGGAGTCAAGTCCTCCATAGAAGCGGCTTTGTGTGTAACCCTCGTTGGCTGCAGCGGACCTCGGCTTCGGTACTCCTCCAGACAGCTCCTAATGCGCTCCAGGTTGGGACTGGGTGCGTGGGTCCGCGCTGTGAACTTGTTAACGGGGACAGAGTACAGCTGTTTCTTCGGGTGAGCTGGTTGTACGCGCCTATGTTAAGAAGAAAATGAAAATAATGAATACCCTATAATGATAATTCAACAAAGCACTGAAATATTTATTTGGAAGCAGTTTATAGACTAAAACCTGAATGCCCCAGAAGAAGAATTTAAATGTTTATCAAGAGTATTTGTATTTGTATGTATTTATGTATGTCTATTTCTTTGGTAACTGTTCATGCTCTGTATAGGGTTGCCAGGTTTTAAAACCGGACAGAGCAGCGAGCTTAGCCGAACAATTTGGTAAAAAGGCCGGACACCCTTATTTTTTTGTCTCAGTAAAAGACATTTTTAAAAGTAAAACAATGCTTTTTATCATTTACCGTAAAATCTTCTGAAGTTTTAACGAAATAACAACAATTGAGTAAATCAGTCTTCTTTTCTTTATTATAAATTATTCAATATTCATTAGTTCATTACAATATTAATTTCAATAATTGCAATAGTATGTAAGTATATGAAAAATGTTAAGTAATGGTCAAATCTAAAAAGCCTAACAAAAAACGGACACCATTAAATTTGTCCGGATACGCAACCAAAAAGCCTGACTATGTCCGGCTTTATCCGGACGTCTGACAGCTAGCGTTGTCTCTGTAGCCTAAATGGCTTCATGGATTTTGATATACTCATATGTCGTTAGATTCCTCTGAGATGTGGAAGTGACAAAGGGTATAATTTTATTCTCTTTGCAAACTTTTTACGCAATCGAGATTTTTTTCATTACCGTTTAAACCTTTTAAACTTGAGAGACATAAGTGTGACTACGACTAAGCCAGGTTTTACTCAGAGTCCATCACAATTAAACAGCACACTAAATATTACGTAGTTTATTATTTTTCGCACAAATGTTAGTATTTTTTATAGGAGAGGGGGCGAACGACCATACGGCTCACCTGATGGTAAGTGGTTACCGTCGCACATGAACAGCTGCGATGCCAGGGGGATTGCAGATGCGTTGCACGCCTTTTAAAAAGAGGTAGGCTCTTTTCTACGGGTTCCTTAGTCGTATCGGTCCGGAAAAATCTCTGGTGGTAATAGATTCCACGAGGAAGTTGTGCAAGGTAAAAAATTTCTTTTAAATTGCACGATAATGGACCGCCAGTCATCCAGACGGTACGGATGGTATAGCGAGTTTTGTCGAGATGTGCGATAGTGAAATTGTGTGGCTGGAATTAGTTCAAACAATTCCTCAGATAGATGGTAGATGCGATAAAATACGCAAAGAGATGCAAAATCTCTTCGCAGTGCCAGTGAGTCAAGCCGATCGGAAAGAGTTCGGTCGCCGACGATTCGAAGAGCTCTGCGCGGGATGCGATCAAATGGTAGGAGCTGGCACTGGGGAGCCCCGGCCCAGATATGGGAACAGTATTCCAAGGCCGAACCTGCGCCTTGTAAAGTTGCAGGCGGTGAGCCGGCATGAAATACTGTGCTGAAATGCTCTGCTGAGCACGCCAAGCTTTTTAGAGGCCAAGTTGCTCTTCTCTTCCAAGTGACCACGAAACTGCACGTCACTCGATATGTCGACGCCGAGGATTCCGATACTGGCTGAGGCGACAAGGGGAGTGCCTTGAAACTGAGGAGATACGACGAAAGGGTTTTTTAAGCAGTAAACGCGCAAACTTGTGTCTTCTGGGGACTAAACTGGACTAGATTTAGTCGCCCCAGTCCGGACTTTGCTTTGCTCAACAAAGTTCCGACTTCAGACAAAAGTTTGTACCGGTACTCTGCCTTTTCCCGAGAAATATTGGCACGGCCATATTACCGAACGGAATGTTACCGATTTGCAACGTGTCATTGATATGCAGAAGAAACAACGTTGGTGATAGCACGCAGCCTTGTGGAACAACAGCGTTAATGGGCTTGTAATCGGAGCATGCACCGTCTACTACGACCTTTATGCTCCAATCAGCAAGAAAACAGAAATAAATATTACATAATCAGAGAGTAAATATCGCTCGCATGAACTTTCTAGTTCATACGAGCGATATTTACTCTCTGTGTCTGAAGTTCTTATACTAAAATAAGCCACTACTAAAATATTTCTGTCTTGTCTCTGCCGGCGGGGATCGAACCCGGGTTCTCGCGTTCCAGCGAGCGTTAACCATCGGAGCCACCACGGCTCTCTAAGCTACCACGGCTTAGACGGAAGCCATGTCTAAGCAACTACAATATCGAGCTTTGCCTAATCTATCAATTTTTTCTTCTTTAAGGTGTAAAGGGTAATTGTCTCTTATCAGTATTTAAATTTCACTTTTGGAAATCAACGCAAAGTCGGTCCGTGCCATCCTTTTTCATGACTAACAATATAGGGCTGCTGAACGGGGATGAGCTGTCTCTTGTTATGCTATTTTCTTTTAAGTCTTTAATAATATCCCGCACTTTCTCACGTTCCACAAGGGACAAACGATATGGTCGGCGTTGCACAATCTTATCGGGATTTTTAATCTAATTTTTAGTTCCCCGGTAGTCACTGTGTGAAGCGATTCCCAGATGTGGAATTATCCTTGAACTCATTGTTAATACGATAGATTTCTTTAATTTGTATTGGGTTAGTTAAGTCGGTATCTAATTCAAAAGGGGAAGTTAAATTTAGACATTTATTGATAAAAAAACTCGCGATTAATGGATATATTACTGTCCTCGCTCGCTTACGCCGGGTTTTTTTGAGAAGATTAAAACCTACTAAGATGTCAAATTGAGTTTCGTTATCACCTACTACATAAATCTCGAGCTCTAAGCGAATATTATCCACTATAGTTGTAATGTTTTGAGGACACTGTTTGACCCCCAATACTGATAAACTTCACATTAACTTGTTTACGTTTTCCGGCAACGGATCCAGCTATTTTCTCTCGAATTAATGAACAGCCAGCTCCAGTATCGAAAATACAGTTATTTTTGTTACCAATGTTTACATTAAAAGTGCTACGTTTAATAGATGAACATTTGTCACTTTGACATTGGTAACAATTTTTCTCTAAGTGGCCCTTACAAAAACAGTATTCGCACTCGATAACCTTAGCGTAACTAAAACTGCCACGGGAGATAGAACTATTATCTGATTGTGACCAAACAGGGTTATTTTTAGAGGGATTTTTGCAATATCGTCAGAAATGACCCGACCTATTGGAATTAAAACATGTGATTTGATCCTTTGAAGGTCCCGTGATACGTGGTTTTTAACATCATTACGAGTATATATACTTTATTTTCAATTTAACTTTTTTTAATGTTTTTAGAACTGGTACTAATTTGGGAAGTTAATTGGGGATATTTCTCAACAACTCAGAACAAATAAATTCAGGATAAAAACCTGCGATCAGTGCATCCACTACCTCAGCATCGGAAGCTTCTGGTCAAACCCTCCTGAAGAGCATCCAAGCTGTTGTAGGATATTTAACGTAGCTGCTCGCTTGGTCCGAAGTACAGCTGCGCCATTCCTTCACGTCATCCGCGTACCGGAACTCGTTGCCAAACGTATGAGTCAGCTCTTCCTTCACTTGTTCTCGCGTGGTAGCATGCAGTGACCAAGGGCCGGCCCATGTCTATGCTCGTCCTCTCAATTGCAGGATGGCCTTCATTCGAGCTTCGTGGTGCGAAATACTTCTAACTTCGTAATGGTTTCGTCCACCTCTGCACACCAGTGCCAGATGTCATGTGATCTTTCATCAGTGTTGATATGCGGTACATGCGGTAGATAAAAGTCATGGTGCTGCCCGTAAAGGTGCAGCCTCTGTAGATAACGTCGCTCTCGCAGCGCTTGTCGCAGCATTTTTCGTTATGGAGGTTAGGAGACCCATCACTTGTTCCATACTGCAGGCCCTGAAGAATCTCGGGGCTGTCATCCCACTTCTGATGTCGGCGATAACCCAGGGTTTTTACGCTCACAATCTATCACAATGAAACAGCACACTTAATAGTACATAATTTATTATTTTCCGCACAAACGTTAGTATAAGACAGAACAGTCTTTTCATAAATCAACCGCCTTTATAGTTTCCCATTGAGCTATTATGTACTACGTACTAGAGGCGACACTGCATTCAGCTACTATGTTCCACTCAACTGCGGTGCATACACGGCACTTTAATCAGCCACTCGCTAGACGCTTGTAGAGTTGTCACGTGTTGTGTTGATTTAAAAGAAAACTTTTGTTAAAAATATGCCGTCGTGTGTACTTAGATATTGCACAAATAATTCAAGAAATGTCAGTAAAAACCAAGAAAACAAGAAATTACTTTCAATCAGTTAATAAGATACTTAATAAAAAATATTATAGATTAATAATAAAACAAATTATTCCTAAGACGCCATTTCGTGTCATGGAATATAGAATATGAAATTAATATGTTCATATGCGACATTTTTGTGGGTACTAAAGTATAGGACGATTATATTATTATACACATTTTTTTGTAGAAACGTATATAAGTTATTATAATTAGGCTTATTTTTCATGTTTATATCTGCTTATTATTCTTTTATTTTATTTTTAGGTTTCCACATCAAAGGCAAAGTGGAATAAATTCGTCCATTATTAATTCTCACGTGCCCAGCATTTATGGAAGACTCTTATTCTAATTTAAATAAATATATTTGTAATTTAAATGTTATGTTAATAAGTTTTGTTAAACATATACCTATTTAGTATATTTTTTATATTTGACCTTTTAAAATATTCAGATAAAATGTAATTGTGATATAATATTATGTAATATTATATGAAATAAGCAAATGTAATATACAAAATAAATGACAAAATTTAAATTTAATTTAAATATTGTTCTCGATATAATTTACCTATTTAACAATATAATCTACTATTACCTACGGATCATTCTACCTATGTTTATTCTATGATAAAAAAACCAACCGCGCGAACACAGAGTAGCGCACATTTTATGTTTGAGTTAGCTGTTCTAGTACGTAAGCAAATATTACTTCAATGTAGTTTCCTTACAATAGATAAAACGGATGTATTAAATACAACTTCTTTTAAAATAAATAAAATTGGGTACTAGGTATAGGTAATTATTAAAATACAGCTTAATATTAATAATAAATATTTTAATGAATTTAAATAACTTCAAATGATTTATGTTATATAAATATTTGTTAATATAATTTGAACAAACACTATTTTTACATACTCTGTTAAAAGATGGCGCCGCCAAGCAATATTCGAATGAAATAATAAACTTATTGCATAAAGTAATAAAATTTGATACATAATAATAATGTTAATTCTAATAGATATTAATTTCAACATTTACACAGTAAAATTAGTATTTAAACAATAAATGAAACATCAAACGTCTTCAAAATTTCAAACAATCAAAACAGTGTCTACTGATCAGACCTTAACAAATAATGGTTTTATGTTTTCAAATAACTATTTGAATTGCCAAGTCAATCTACATATTTAAAACATAAAAGAATTTTAAAATTGATATGGTCACTATAAAATGTTGTTAGGTTAGTTAATTACGTAATAACCTAAAACAGAAGGACCCTTAAGTAGGAACTGAATAAATTAACCGACTTGGTATTACATGGATCTCACAACTTTTTACGGTAGAAGAACTGAGTTGCGAGACTTGGTTTTTTTACAGGTTTTTTTTAATGGTATCTCATTTCTTTTTATATATAAGATAGTGCTAATTTTTTACCTTTCCGGTACCTTCTACTTCTTGAGTAACAACAACGTACCTATGTACACCTGTAGTACATACAAGTACACTGACTCATTCACTGCAAATGTAATTTTGTAATTCTATATATTTATATGGGATTACAAAGTTATTTATGCAGTTAGTGTATCTAAAAAACTGGACAGAAATTAACAAATGTTTTAGTTTTTCCTTGATTTATACACTAAACACTAATTGTATTCTAAATTTGAAGCTTCTACGTTTGCTAGAAGTGCCTTAGAGTTTTGATGATCGGTCAGTCAGTGAGTGACAAAATTAAGAAACTTTGACTGGTTACAATTCTTAAACTCCTGGTTCAAATTGAATGATATTTGAAATATACCATGTCTATACTATGCTTACTTGGTTGCTGAAAATTCAGGCTGCTAGTTTTATTGACCACGAAGTTATAAGGGGTCGAAAATGCCCTGAATTGCTTCGAGAAAAGATGGTACGGCCGTGCCGCTTTTTTGCTCGACTTGGCGGACTGCGTGGGATTAATTGATTTAAGACTGATTTATTCAATTTTATTGTTATTTCATTAGAATTTGAGAATATTTTGTGGTAAATAATAAAAATAATTGTTTTACTTTAAAAATAATTGTCGTGTTATACTAAAAAGTTAAGGGTGTCCGTCCTTGTTACCAAACTGCCCGGCTAAGCTTGTTGTTCTTCGGTCTTAAGAGGCAATACTAACTAGGAGTAATACTGTTCTGTTCTAGCCTTCATTAGATAGTAATATAACTTTATATTTTTAAACCAAACATAAGTATATATAAATACTTTTTTTATTGAATATGTATCGCTACAATGTTAGGGAAATCCTCCATGGTTGTGCCAGGAAGCACGACACGTAGGTATAGGTGTTTATGGACTACAGTATCCACTTACTATCAGATGAACTGTATATATATATATATATATATATATATATATATATATATATATATATAAACATATAACATCTACTACTATATTACAACTCATGATCAGGGCGTGTCGATTTAGTTTTTTAAACTCTAATTTTATTAATATTATGCTTTGTACTCGAATGTGCCCAATTTCAAACGATCTGCATATTTGTTTTTTTTATAAGAATACTTTATTTTGAGTAATGGTTTATTTAGTAGTACATAAGTATAGTATAGAAGTGCATGTATTTGTGAAATAAGTTAGTTATCAGGAAGCCGTTGTCCCAACTTTCTAGCTATCGTCACCACCCATTTTTTACATGGTAGAGCCACGCTGCAGCTATATTATGGGTGTACCACGTATAGGTCAGCTCAATCGAGGAAGGATACCAGCGTAAAATAGCACCTCAATGCAGCTGTTGCGTATGCTGAGTGTAGAGAACCGGAGAACCTATTAACTGGAAAGGAGGCATTCCGTCTTAATCCTCAGGAGTGACAACGCACCTGCATTTTCATTTTTAATCGAGGATACATGTAGATATCAATGAACCGAAGCATTTACTTACCATCAGGTCGGCTATGTGTTCGGTTGTCACTTATCACCCATATTCTATAAAAAACATATTCATGCCTACCGATCAGTAACTTATGTCATGGTTTCTCCGATAGCAAACGGTTTTACCCACTAAACTGACATCAGTAATTATGAACACTAAATAGAACAACCAGATGTTACGCATTATGACATCTGGTATAGTCACATAGTGTAATTGGGAAATTTATAGTAGGAAATACAATTTAAGAACGTAAAAAAATGACTTTACAACATGTAAATAAAACGTCAGTAAAGCGACAATATCCTAATGACAGGGTGCGGACTGCGAACTCAAAAGATCGTGAGTTCGAATCCTCCATTTGACTTCTATCGTAAACTACTCCTAACACAAGCTACTGAAGCTTACCAAGAGTAGTTAAAGGGCATATTAGTAATGTTAATAGTATTGCTTTTTTTCTCTCAATTAAAATAGTAAATGCCGTATTAGCTCAGCAGAGCAAGAGCAAAAATTAATTTCATGAAATTCCAAACATTATTTACTAATCTAATAGATTTATATTTTACTCAATTAACAAACCACCACCTCTAAGGCAGCTAAGCTCTATAACTACCTTTAAAAGTCACCTAAAACAGTACTTGTTAAATGCACAAAAAGAACTAGGCATGGTTAACACTAATGTTAACATGTCCTATATCTGATCCCGGTTATTTGAGAGGTACATTTTATGTTCTATGTTTTGTTTTAATTAATATTTTATTTTTTGCTGATGTTATTATGTTGTTACATTTTCACGCGCAAGGTATCTTGCTAATAATAAAGTATTTAATTAGTATCCTGTAATATATTATATACATATTTTATTAATCATTTATTATATAAGTAATTATATATGTTTTTCAATTCACTATACTCTCTACACGGTAACTGGTTTTAGAGGTGAAGAAGAATGTAATCCAGGGGGCCAATAGAAAATCAGCGTTAGGTTTCCAACCTGACATCATGCTGAATTGGTTCCTATCTCGCAGGCATCACCCTGAGGCACTAGAATAGTTTTAAGAATATATATTATGTATATTTTTTTTCCTAATTTTAACTTGCTGTTTGTTTGTTCATAAATTGTTACTTTTTTGATTATTTATATATATATATATATATATTATATTTGATTTTGTTTCTGTATTCTGGTGCCTTGTGTGTGTCAAAAATAAATATTTTTTCTTCTTTCTTTCTTTTCTTCTTCTAATTTTTAAAAATTGACTTTTTAGTAATAAACATATAAAATTATCCGATAAATCCAAATAACATCTCACTCAGATATACATATTACCTAGCGCACGCACCTACCTACAATTACCCTAAATCATGTCAATACCTACCCAAATTATGTAACTGTAGACCTATTTCGTATGTATTATTTATACATAGAGTAATTAGACTGAGCCTAATAATTCTATATATTTATATATTAGGTCGGGGAAAAAGTTTCTTTGTACATATATTATTTGTATAAAAATGAAGATCTCTTTGATTGTACTGTTTGTATCTGGCTCGTTTTAATATCAATACATATGAGACAAAAATAAAAAGTAAAAAAAAACCACTTTCCCGCCATTTTTCAATTGTTTTTCTGTCCGATAAAATTAAAATCGAAAAATGTATTACAAAAAAGGCAAAAATGAAAATCGAGCCTCAAAAACAATTGTTTGACGTTTATGAACCTAATGCAGTGTCAGTAAAAGTAGAACAAAGTTGATTCAAGCGGGAATTTTGACGTCAAAAATGTAGCTCGCTCTGGTCGTCTTCGTAGGAATAATTACTACATAGTCGAGGAATTAAAGATTGAACACGAAGCAGTTTTGACCCGTTTGAAAAACTCTGGCTCTACAAAAGAGCTCGATATTTGAGTACAAGAGTTCACTGAAAGAAACCTAATGAATCATGCACTCATTTGCAATTCTCTATCGAAACGTAATAAAACTGCACCATTTTTTAAAATATTGATCATCACTGGTGTTGAAAAGTGGAAGTTAACATCAAGAGAGGACTGTCAAAACTACATGTCGCATTTTTTGATCAAAAATCACCAAGATTTCTAAAACAACGGGATTATGACACTACTTACAAGGTGTCAACAAGTTATCGAACAAAATGGCACATAATATATTATAATTAAATGAAATTAAACTATAAAAAAAATAATGTTGTGATTTTTTTAAATATGAAGAAACTTGTTCCTCGACCTTATACGTATTTGAATATATATATAATTTATGTACGTATATGTTATATTTTACTAGTTTATTTATTAGTTAAATGTGTATATTATGGAGTTGATTGTCATTTTTATTTTGTTTTTTATTCTATATTGCTACACCTACGTCAAATTCTCATTACTTCATAGGTTGATTGGTAGAGAATGCCTCAAGGAATTAAGCCCGCTCTTTTTATTCTTTTGATTTAAAGAATGTAGTAAATAATAAATAAATAAAGTTTGCCTGGACAGGTGTTAGAAATGTCTAAACTGTCTGGGTTCTGTGGAAACATCTTCTAATAGTTAATCAAGTAACATATATAAAATTTAGTTATAACACAACAGTTATAATTCATGTGTTTAATGTGTGTGGGTGTCTAGCATGAATGACGTGATTTCCAATATTATTCAAAAGAAAATATGAGAAAATTACGCTTTATTAATTAACCTGTAACGTAGTCAACGCTGCTGTTTGTTAGCTACACTTTTGCTACCTGTTATCCAAATTTCATAGAAGCACATCGTTCCCACCTATGCCGTAGCACGCGCTAAACAATTTTCAGCTTTTATAAAATAAGGTAGTTCTAGCATTCACGGGCTCTTTGTCTTTAAGGGGCTAAGTGCTCGCTGAAAATTTCACAATACACTAACAATCCGGGTTCGATCCCATCCGACACCAAAGAAATTGTTGATTGCAATATCAAGTGTTCATTCACCACGAGCTTGGTGGTGCAGGAAAACGTGGTGAAGGAAAACGTCATGAGGAAACCCGCATGTCTGTAGAATTAGATATTTCATGTGAAGTTCTTCAACACGCACTGACGCAGCGTGTAACTCTTTTCCCTCTTACAAATAAGAGACGTGTTTACCGCAACGAAGAGTATAGGCTGTGAATTTATAAAGTAACAAATCACTATTCTGCACAGACCATTAACATTTTTATATACAATAAGGTTGACAAGCGAGCTCACCGTCATCTACATCTATCCTCAATTTAAGAAAGAAAATGCAGATGCGTTGTCACCCCTGAGGACTAAGACGCAATGCCTCGTTTCCAATAAAAAGGGTCTCCTTTTCTCCATACTCACCATATAAATCGAAACACAGCAGCATTAAGCTGCTATTTTACGCTGGTATTCTGTGGAAGCGTGGTCCTTCCCCGGTGGAGCCGACCCATTCGTATTACAACCATAATAAAGCTGCAGTCTGGCTCTACCACGTATGAAACACACACACGCGCGCATGCGCGCGCACACACACCACATACACACACAAATAAACTAATTTGAAACAAAAATACGAAAGCTTAACAAATTTGGCTTGGTACGTCGAAAGAACCTTTTAAAGTACAACTCCGAGAACAAATAAGGTTGTGAAATTTTTATTAAGAAAGAAAAGAAATCAAGCGTTCTTTTAACGGAGCTGTATCAGTTAGGAATGCATGGCCATCAGGCATGTTCATACATTCATTCATCTTACTAAATATTAAAAGTTTTAATGTTGGGTGTTTTAATTTGCTATTATTTTTAACATCAACGTTTGTTCTTATAATCTTCTTATATCTTGGTTTTTAATGCCACGGAATTATTAGTTATAATTACTACGTAAGACCGTTACCGTGTAGTGGTGGTGTAAGAGTATCCAATATCCCATATTATCCCGTGGGCGTCATAAGAGGCGACAGAGGGAAATAAACCAGGATATGGGCAGCAGCGTCTCCTTAATAACGATTAAAAATAGCCAAAGCCACGCTGCAGCTTTGTTATGGTCGTAGCATCCACTTACCATCAGTTGGACTGTGTGCTACGTGTTCGTCACACGTATTCCATGAAAAAAAAATCGTCACATAATTTCGTTGATATTCTGTTTATGCTTTTCGAGGCTTGGGAGAAAACACCACCAACTTCCAGACTCCGGTGTGCTACTGAGAATTTCTTGATAGAAAGACCCGATACCGGACCTGATTCTTGACCTGATAATTCATAACCAGGATCTCATGAGCAGCAGTCGCGCTCACTAGACCAACAAGGCAGTCAGTTTATAATGATGACGTCATCATTAGTGACGTGGCCAAGTGCTGTCAAGATTGACCGATTGAGCTCAGCCCTAAGATTTAACTTTTTTTAGATAGTATGTGTAAAACTTTAAAATGCTGACTGTATCTTCTAAGTAACCTATCTAGGAAACTCGGACGGTTGGATTTAGAATCGTTTGGCGGGAATTGGGGGGAGTAAGGTATTTTATTTGGTAGAGGTTTGTTCCCCGATTATAATAATACTACTCACATTAAAAGGTAAGGCACCGTTATCGAAAAAAATAAATAAAATCTATTATAACCTAAAATGCGTAAAACATGCAATATTACTGAGGAAGCTGGATAGCATATAGAATTTTGTGTAAGTGCGACAAGGACGTAAGACTAGCGTCACATTATTCTACTGTCTATACTCTCTGTCAAGTGTGAAATTGCATGACATACTAATTTTTATGCATTTCGCTGTTGGTTGCTCTTTTTGCATTAATGTGTGCTCTCCTGTGTCATCTCATCAGTGTCATCAGCTGCTCCCTGCTCAGAGGCTCCCTGGAGCACCAGACAGCTCATCAGTGTATTATTGTGGCTTGAATGTGCTCCCTAACGTTTTTATCTGCCTCTGCCTGTTTTGCGACCACTTCGCTACCCCTCTGGATTCTTTTTTACTAAAGTTAATATGGTGATGTTTTACTGTGTGTAAAATCGAGCGAAGCGAGCTCGGGACTTAGGGCATCCATATTTGGACAGGTTAGATTAGAAGAGGATAGCGGGGTCGAGTGAGCGTGCGAAGCAAGCGAATAGACCCCGCCATTCGTGTATATTTTTTTACTAACCACTCAGAAGTAGGAGCCCCACGAAGCGGGGCTCCACCAACCGAGCTTCCCTCCACTGCGCTGCGTGGTGCTTCCCTCCCCCGACTCTTTTCCCCTATAAATCAGTTTTATAGTCAAAAACATTACGAAAACATAACCTCAAAATAAGATTTTTAAAAATTTATAAAAAAAACTGACCACGTCCGGCAAGAGAAGCAAGTGGGGGCCGACTCTACAACCCCCCCCCCGCCTGCCGCCCCACTACCTCTCATCCCCCAAATTCATTTTGAGTAATCATTTTGAGGTTAGTTCTATGGGATTTTCTTTCTGATTTTTCTCAATTACGGTGCATTATCTTTTAATGTGCGTGGTATTATTATAATCGGGGACCAAACCTCTACTAAATAAAACACCTTACTCCCCCGAATTTCTGCCAAAAGATTCTAAATTTTAACCGACTCATATCTAATTTAATTATTAGAATCAGGCGTTACTTTGCGGAAATCCATTATATTAAAGAAAACTATTTTGCCCATATCCGGGCAATGAAATAAAATGATGTGTCTTACATAGTTTAAAGAGCGCTTCCCGCCCTCTCTCAATTGCGTGCACTATTCCCGTCACTACTAATCCGCACCACTACTCCCAACACCACTACACTAGGAAATACAACCCACCGTCAAAAATACGACAGGTGTTTCGGCTCTACACGAGGCACCCTCAGGTGAAGTAGAGTCTATGGTGACCGCAGTGCTCTTGGGAGTAGTGGTGCTGGGATTAGTGGTGACGGGAGAAGTGCTCACAATTGAGGGAGGTCTGGAGGTGCTCTTTAAACTAGGTCCGACATTTTATTTCATTGCGCGGATATGGGCAAAGTAATTTTATTTATTTTTTTATTATTAATGGTCCACATGATGTATATCTTTATAACAAATATGTAAGCTAAATTACAGAAATATCAAAAAAGGAGAAAAAAATAAAAATCTTAAAATTCAACATAGCCTATTGAATATAACTTACGCGGGGGGTGTTGAAGTCAACGTGTAGCGCTCCCTAGATAATTCTCTTTCCGAAATATCCCCAGCACCAGTCCTGCCTGGCGGTGACGCGTTTTGCGGCATTTTCACTAATTCTTCTGGCATTTTATAAATAATTTAAATGGTTATAAAATGTCTGTTTTATGGTTACCAAACTTAATACGTTTATATCTGTTGTCAGTTTGAAAATTGCTTGTCATGTAGATTTAAATATTGATTTTGTTATTGGAACTATATATTTTGTATTTTGTTCTCATTGTGTATACTGCCAGATATATATATTTTGGGTACGATTTTATCGGCCACCAAAAAAGTAGGTTTGGGGTTCTTAAAAATAAACATAAAATTCTACAAAATAATATTTAAAAAATACTTTAAGTCTTATGATTTGATATTATGATTGATTAATTAATAAAAAATGTAATTTAATTAAAGCAATGCTTTGTAATTGCAAGTCATAACTACAGAAATTAGGAATTCTCACATGATGTAGTAGGTACTGGCCCTTACAATGTTCACGTATGTTATCTGCATTTAATACTTTACAGTACCTATGTTACCAATAAATACGTGGTAGAGCCATGCTGCAGTAATATTAGTAGTATAGTTGTAGCACGAATGGGTCGACTCGAGCGGGGACGCTCTCACAGAATACCAGCGTAAAATAGCATCTTAATGCTGCTGTGTTTCGTATGGTTAGTGTAGAGAACCAGAGACCCTTTTTAGTGGAAACGAGGCATTCCATCTTAGTTCTCACGGGTGACAACGCAACTGCATTTTGATTCGTAATCGAGGATAGATGTAGATGTCTAAGGGCCACAGCAACCGCTCACCATCAGAAGGACTGTTTGCTCGCTTGTCACTCTATCCTATAAAAAATCACGACCGTTCAAATAAAAACTATTGGCGGCCATACTTTCATACCGTATAGTATTGATGAGATCATTGCCGCACTCTGCGATTATTCTTCATATTTAGCCAACTGCAGGTGTCTATGGACTACACTGACTACTTACTTATCTATACACCTTACTCATCATATTTATAAATTTTATTGAAGTTTCTATCTATCAAAAAAAAATTTATATAAAGTTTCTATCTATTATATTGATTAAAAAATTTAATAAACCTAATTATCTAACGAAATAACCTAATATGTAACAAAACATCTATCATATATACCGTGTAGTGGCGGTTAAGAATATCTACTACCCTATATCATCCCTTGGGTGTCGTAAAAGGCGACAGAGGGAGACAGGCAGGAGATGGGCATCAGCATCTTCCTGATAGCAGCAACTAGACCAACGAGGCATCAAAGTTGCTCACAAGAAACAAGAAAACTGCGTCTGCCAACCCGCTCGCCAAGCGTGGCAACTGTAGCAATATACCCCCATGAGAAACGACGCAAATAGACGGCCCATTATCCCTTGCGGCCCCACTATTCCTGGTTACGGTGGGCACCATGGTAACGGCGGGGCAGGGGCTGCTAAGAATCTCCGGTGGAGGTTCGGTTGCCACCTACGACGACTCGACCTGGCAACGTATAACGCACGTACCCTGAGGACTGACGAGAAGATCCTGGACCTGGAAGAAGAGATAGACAAGTTGCGCTGGAATATTATAGGATTATCTGAGGTCCGAAGAGAGGGGGAGGACACGGTGATTCTTAAATCCGGCAACTTGTTCTAACTTGTTCCCAAGGAGATGTTGGATTTATCGTCCAAAAGTATCTCGTTAACAACGTTGTGAAGATGGAGTGTGTCGACGAGGGTCGCATACACCTTATACTCAGAATCACCGAACGGTATTCTCTGAAGGTCATACAAGTTTACGCACCAACGTCGGGACATCCCGATGAGGAGGTGGAGGATATTTCTAGAGCCATGCATTCCTCCAAAACTCACTATACGATGTTAGTGGGAAACTTCAACGCAAAACTAGGCACAAGAAACAACGGTGAGCTGAAGGTAGAGAAATTTGGGATAGGGCAACGGAACTCAAGGGGGCTAGCAGCTGGTCGACTTCATAGAGAAAGAGGGACTCTCTATAATGAACTCCTTCTTCCAAAAGCGGCCCCACAGAAAGTGGACCTGGTCGAGCCCCGAGGGTTCGACAAAAAATGAGATTGACTTCGTTATGACGACTAGACGGCCACTGTTCAGTGATGTCTCAGTGATCGCAAGGGTGAAAACCAGTGGGTGTGGCAGCGATCACCGAATGGTTAGAGGCACACTAAACCTAAACGTTAAGTTGGAGAGGTCTCGTCTAATGAAGTCAACGTTCCATCCCCCTCGTGCTCTAATCTAAAATCCCGAAACCTTTCAGCTTGAGTTACAAAACCGCTTTCAGAGTCTAGAAGATTGCAATGCACTGGACGATATGAATGACAAGCTCGTGGAAACTGTCCATTCGATCGGACTTAAGTTCTGCAAAAGACGCCGCAGAAGAACACAAAAACTCTCCGATCACACTCTTAATCTTACAGCTGGTTATACGGGCAACTGAACTGACAGATCTGCAAATGCATGCGGAGGGATTTACGCAATTTTAATACTGCTCGTATTGAAGAAGCGATCGAGCGGAACCAGTGCTTCAAAGTCTTTGCCAGAGATCTGGCTGCAGAAAGAGCCAACTATCAAAGCTGAAAACTGAGTGTGGCAGCATCGTTTCCGGGACACCTGAGATTTTGAGTGAGATTGAGAGGTTCTATGGGCAGCTGTACACATCATCGTTGGAGCCACACGCAAGTGTGAGTAACGATCCAAGAGCAAGTCTTATCCGACACTATTCCGTTGATATCCCGGACGTCAGCCTGAGCGAGATTGAAGAATGGCTCTCCAGCACCTTAAAAGCGGCAAGGCCCCAGGCGAGGATGGAATTAGAGCGGAGCTTCTGAAAGCGGGTGGAACACCGGTACTTGAAGTCCTTCAGAAGCTCTTCAATTCCCCGTGGCACTACTCCCGAGGAGTGGAGCTGATGTTCGGTGGTCTTGTTCTTCAAGAAAGGTGACAACGCCTCTTGAAGAACTATAGACCGATATCTCTTCTGAGCCGCGTCTACGTGCTGTTCGTCTCCCTCGCAGACTCGACGACTTCCAGCCTCCCGAACAAGCCGGTTTCCGAAAAGGCTTTAGCACCATAGATCACATTACATACCCCTCGACAAATTTTACAGAAGTCCGAATAGTACAATCTTCCACTTTACCTGGCGTATGTGGACTATGAGAAAGCCTTTGATTCCGTCGAAATTTGGGCGGTGCTACAGTCTCTTCAGCGGTGCCAAGTTGACTGTCGGTATATCGAAGTGCTGAAGTGTTTGTACAGTAGGGTTACGATGTCTATCCGAGTACAGAACCAGAGTACGAAACCTATCCCATTGCAGATAGGTGTAAGAAAGGGTGACGTTATATCCCCGAAACTCTTCACCGCTGCATTGGAAGACGTTTTCAAGCTACTGGACAAGAAAGGATATGGTATTAACATCAATGGAGAGTACATCACTCACCTTCGATTTGCCGACGATATAGTCCTTATGGCAGAATCGCTGGAGGATCTAAGCACTATGACCAATGACCTCAATAGGAACGGTCTCCCAACGTATAGGTCTTAAGATGAACATGGACAAAACAAAGATCATATTTAATGTGCCCACCGAACACAAGAAACAGACAACGTTCGGAAAATTACGACCCATCTTCTCGTCAAGTATACCTCAAAACCTGAAAACTAAACTGTACACCCAGTGCGTGTTGCCGGTGATAATGGAACTGAGACGTCGTCCTTCACTGCTGGCCGTATGAGGACGCTCAAAGTTGCGCAGCGAGCTATGGAGAGGGCCAGCCGGCTATGCTCGGGGTTTCTCTGCGTGATAAACTTAAAAATGAGGTTATCAGCAGCAGAACCAGACTGACTGACATAGCCCAACGGATTAATAAGCTGAAGTGGCAGTGGGCCGACCATAAAGCTCGAAGAATCGACAACCGTTGGGGAAAAAAGTTTCTCGAGTGGCAGCCTCGTACCGGTAGGCGTAGTGTAGGGCGACCCCCACTAGATGGAGTGACGACCTGGTAAGACGTGCAGGAAGTCGATGAATGCAGGTGGCTCAGGACCGTGATTTGTGCCATTACTTGGGGGAGGCCTATGTTCAGCTGTTGACTTGTGAAGGGCTGTAATGATGATGATGATATCGAAAAAATTGACTTTTGTTAAGCTCAGAGGTTGATTTGCATGCTATCTAATATACAGGGTTATTTTGCAACTTTTGTTATGTTTATTGAGCAACTTTGATGCCTCGTTGGTCTAGTTCTTGTAGTAGTGCGATTACTGATCATGAGGTCCTGGGTTCGAATCCCTGGTCGGGCCAAAAAAATCAATTATTGAGTTTTTCTGTCAAGCAATTCTCAGTAGCTACCCGGAGTCAGGAACTTGGCAGTGTCTCACCCCCGTGCCTCGGAAAGCACATAAAGCCGTTGGTCCTGCGCCTGATCGCTCTCCCGGTCGTGTCGGTTTACTGTCCCATCGGATTACGAGAGTGAAGGAATAGAGAGTGCACCTGTGCTTGAGCATACACTTGGGCACTATAATCCTGTGCTGCGCCGATGGCTAGCCTCCGTTGAGGTTGGCCGCCGTGACCAAAATTCGGTCTGGAGGACATTATTATTTTGCAATAACCGGTCATATTTACGGAGAAGTTTCAGAATAAATAATATATACAAATGGTGGAGAAATATTAATTTAAAAAAATCTCAAACCTTCTGTCCTTTTATCTTTTAAAAAATTCAAAATGCGTGGTAAGGCATTATTTTAACTGCTTTTACCTCGCACGCATACATTCGTAAGGGTCAATCAATTTGGGATAATTTCAAATATGTACTCGTAAAAGTGGAAACCTTATTTACTCGTATTTTCAAATATTGCAATAACGGTATATCATTATTTATATATTTGAACTTAGGTTTAAAAATTGGCAACTCAATCAAAAAATGTATAAAAATTGTATAAAAATTAACGGTTGTTTGTTCGTATTTTATGCGATATCACATCATTCATCAGATTGCGGTAAAATTTTGCCAACTTATTGCTTGC